TCTACATTCACCGTGGTGTTACAGTTCCCCACGGCATTCAGTAGAGGAACGTGCTGTATGGGCATGTGGCCTAGGGGTGCAGTGGGCTGACCGTCCAGGTTAGGTGTGCTCTGATGCTCACATGCATTGCTCAGACTTACTCCTTCGCTAAGCAGGGCACGACTATGCTTTAATACAAGTAGTGCAAACGCCATTCATACTCAGTTGAGAATGTTTGCACTACAATGGTGTGCTTGCTATGCTTTAATTTAATTAGGCTTTTTTGTGTGTTTTCTCCTTAGCTGCTTTATTCTCCCATTGAAAATATCCAAAGAGTTGCTGCAGGGGTCCTCTGTGAACTTGCTCAGGACAAGGAGGCTGCAGAAGCTATTGAAGCCGAGGGAGCCACGGCTCCCCTGACGGAATTGCTGCACTCGAGGAATGAAGGTGTGGGTAAGTAGAAGAGGAACCAGGACCTCCAGCCGGTTCATACAGTGATGCCTCCATTTTCCTAAGAGTCTTTTTTTCTGTCATCCCAGCAACGTATGCAGCTGCTGTGTTGTTCCGAATGTCTGAGGACAAGCCACAGGACTATAAGAAGCGGCTTTCCGTGGAGCTGACCAGTTCTCTTTTCAGAACAGAGCCAATGGCTTGGAATGAGGTAGGCGGTGCGAGTGTGTGTCTTGGGTAGTTGGCCGGAGCAGGCAGCGCAGTTCGTGTTTCCCTCAGAACACTAGGTCTGCGTGCATTGCTGTCGACTGTCCTTCACTTCAATAGTCGTTTATCATGCTATGTGGGCAACGACTGAAGGAGAACTACAGCTTTCAAAAGTTGGCTCAGAATGAACTAACTGCTTATTGAACCTTAGGATTCACAGGGAGGGAGATTAAAATTAAAGAGGCAATCAAACAGTGAGTTAGGGGTCATTTTATCACTACTTTTCTAGTAGAATTACTATGAATTTTAGTGTATTCCTCAGCACAGTTATTCATTGAAGTTAAAACTGTAATTTTCATAGTAATGTACATAGTAATATACAGTTGAATGGAAGGAGATCCTATATATTATTTGTTTTAAAAAAAGCCAAATGGTGAGTAATGTGTTATTGGGCTTTTAACAGGCAATCTTGACATGTTCCATCTTGAGCTCTGAACTTCCCCACCCATCTCCTTCCTTCACAAACCTGTTCTGTCATAATTTTCTCCATCTCGGTTACTGGCAGCTTCAGCACAGGCTACAAGTCGGCCTCCATAGAACATGTCCTGTTTGGGGGGGGGGGGGGGGGGGTCACTTGGCCTGTTTGCTGTTGTATCTCTAGCACCTAGAACAGGGCCTGCACATAGTAAGCACTGACATATATTTACTAAAAGGATAAATTTGTGAGTTTTTAAAAGACTGTGTGCAGCTGAGACCGGCTTGGCTCAATGGAGAGAGCGTTGGCTTGGGGACTAAGGGGACCTGAGTTCGATTCCGGTCAAGGGCATGTACCTTGGTTGTGGGCATATCCCCAGTGCGGGGTGTGCAAGAGGCAACCAATCGATGACTCTCTCTCATCGATGTTTCTGGCTCTCTATCTCTCTCCCTTCCTCTCTGTACAAAATCAATAAAATATTTTTTAAATAAAATAAAAGACTGTGTGCAATGGGAAAACATGTTTCTAGTATTGTGGTTAATCTTTGAGGAGTGGAGTCTGATGTATCTATTGTATACTTCTACATTTTGAAGTATTTCTATCAATATAATGTTTAAGAGTGTACTTTGTAAGTTGAGACTCTTCATTTTGTTTCCCTGTTTTGTGCCTGTTTATCTAGACTGCTGATCTTGGACTTGATATTGGTGCCCAGGGAGAGCCCCTTGGATATCGCCAGGATGGTATGTGTCTCATGTTTCTCGATTAACTCTAGATCAAGCTTTATCAAAAGAGCTAGTTTGCTTACCTGGGAAGCCAGTGTTGGCAGGAAAGCAAGCAATTAAAGTCAGTTCTTCAACAGTATCACACCACAAACACTTGTCACTCCTGCCAGATTTCTGGCTATTCTTTTTTTCGTGTGTGTGTGTATGTCATCAGAGAAGCTATAATACCTGGGTCTACAACCCACCCAGGAAATGAGAGTATGGGAAACTTGTGTCCCCAAGCTCAGGTCTGGGCTGGGTATGTTGTATTGTCGGGTTTTTCTGAAAAGCTAATTCCACTCTTGGGAATGGAGATGGAACATGGGGTAGACCACCAATAACTGTAATTATTCACCTTAAATTTGTAATCTTAAAACTTGTTTTTCCTAATTCTTAAACCACTAAAGCCCATAGCTTTTTTCCTTGACAGACATACAAATGTCAACCTTTAAGATGAAATATATAGAAGTTCAATTGGGAATGATGTCTTGCATTTTCTCAGTACCTTTGTGGGCATCACCTGGACTTCTCATCAGCTAGATTACATCTGCCAGACTTCCTTGTTGTTGCCTCACCTTCTGCCCATGGCTTCCTGATGCCTGGGTGGTCGTGTACAGTGGAAGCTGCTCTCCTCCTGAGGAACTTGTGTAGGGAAATACAAAACATTCAGGGTGAACTGAAGGCGTGACTGGAACTGAGTGGGTGGCCTGGCCGTGGGTAATTACGGGGCTGAAGAAAGCTAGAAAGCAGTGCTTTCTGACAAGTACGTAGTCCTTCCACGTCCCTAACCCTAACCTCAGTGGTAACTTTTGTCTTTCTCCTCTCACTCCCTTGCCCATTTTGTTGCCACCCTGACTTTCCTAGACCCCAGCTATCGTTCTTTTCACTCTGGTGGATATGGCCAGGATGCCTTGGGAATGGACCCCATGATGGAGCATGAGATGGGTGGCCACCACCCTGGTGCTGACTATCCAGTTGATGGGCTGCCAGATCTGGGGCACGCCCAGGACCTCATGGATGGGCTGCCTCCAGGTGACAGCAATCAGCTGGCCTGGTTTGATACTGACCTGTAAATCATCCTTTAGGTAAGAAGTTAAAAAGCCAGTTTGGGTGAAAAACTTTTACTCTGCCTACAGAACTTCAGAAAGACTTGGTTGGTAGGGTGGGAGTGGTTTAGACCTATTTGTAAATCTGCCACAAAAAACAAAACAGATACATACATACTTTGAAAGGAGATGTCTTAGAACATTTGAATGTTCTCAGATTTCTGGTTATGTGGTCATGTGTGGAAGTCATTAACTTTAATGTTTTTTGCCACAGCTTTTGCAACTTAGTGCTCAAATGAGTAACATTTGCTGTTTTAAACATTAATAGCAGCCTTTCTCTCTATACAGCGGTATTGTCTGAACTTGCATTGTGATTGGCCTGTAGAGTTGCTGAGAGGGCTCGAGGGGTGGGCTGGTATCTCAGAAAGTGCCTGACACACTAACCAAGCTGAGTTTCCTATGGGAACACGTGAAGTAAACTTTTTGTTCTGGTCCTTTTTGGTCGAGGAGTAACAATACAAATGGCTTTTGGGAGTGACTCAAGAAGTGAAGAATGCACAAGAATGGATCACAGGATGGAATTTATCAAACTCTAGCCTTGCTTGTTAAATTTTTTTTTTTAATTATCTTGTAATGGTACTGATTTGCTTGCTTTGAAGTAGCTCTTTAATTTTTTTTGCAGTAACTGTTAGTTTTTTAAGTCTTGTAGTCTTAAGTTATAGTGAATACTGCTACAGCAATTTCTAATTTTTAAGAATTGAGTAATGGTGTAGAACACTAATTCATAATCACTCTAATTGTAATCTGAATAAAGTGTAACATTGTGTAGCCTTTTTGTATAAAATAGACAAATAGAAATGGTCCAATTAGTTTCCTTTTTAATATGCTTAAAATAAGCAGGTGGATCTATTTCATGTTTTTGATCGAAAACTTTATTTGGGATATGTATGGGTAGGTAAATCAGTAAGGTGTTATTTGGAACCTTGTTTTGGACAGTTTACCAGTTGCCTTTTATCCCAAAGTTGTTGTAACCTGCTGTGATTCAATGCTTCAAGAGAAAATGCAGTTATAAAAATTGTTCAGAATTAAACTTTTAATTCATTCGATTGTGTCACCTTTTTCCTTGTTAGCAAACGATGTTATGAGGGTAACAGTATATTCCCGTACATAGTGAACTAAGTGGTCAAAGGCAGGACCTTCTTTACCTTAGATGAGAATGCCGGCCCAGTTTCTCCAGCAGTGGCACCACCAGGGCTTCAGCCATGAACACGATGCCACCTTCTCCAACTGAAGGACTGGGCTTAGACCCTACGGCCAGGACTTCAGCTGGCTTCTGTTGGGCCATGTGTGTAAGCTTGCCCAAGTGACCAGAAGGCATCTAGCTGGTCTTTGGGCTGCATAGAGCAAAACTGAAAGCCAATAGGAATTCCCCACCCCCCACTTGCTATCTTAAGGTAAGAATGAAAAATTAGCTACCTGGGCTTTATTTTATTTTTTTTACCTGGGCTTTATTTTATTTTTTTTACCTGGGCTTTAGATCCCAAGCACCTTCACCTAAGTGTGACTCATTTGGAGAGGGGAATTCCTTCTACTCCACTTTGAACTGATAATTAAGTTGGTTTAAGTGTAGATGTTTATCTGAACATAGACCCAGAATGGGCCTTTCCGGCTACCTGCCAGGTGAGCCTGTCATCCTGGCGGTAGGTCTCACAGCTTTCCTCCCTGAGGGCAGAGTCAGAAGACCTGTTAAGACTTGTGATTTGGTCTTTTAAAAAGAGTGGTATGTGCTTAGGAGGGTGGTTTCTGACTTTCTGTGGGTGGCCATTTGGATAAAATTGAAGTTAACGCAGAAAAAAATCCATGACAGTCAACAAACTATTAATTTTAAATAAAACTCTCAGTATTTTTCTTTTGCCTCAAGGTTGAGAGTGGCCATCCTGCAGTTAAAAACAACAGCTTGACTATATTTCATAACATTAAACAAAAGGAAGTCATACATGCATACTGAAGGGGGCTACACTGATCCAAAAAAGGGCAGTCTATTAAGGACTCATCCATGGGTGGCAAACTGAAAAGCAAGGCGTTCTTAGATTACTACACAGCCAGGAGAGCCGTTACCTGGGGGTGGAGCTCACAGGACACTTGGTCCCACTGCATTGAGGGAAGAGGGCGCTTCCTGTTGGAATAGAGGCTTCAGACATGAGACTTTGATCTGGTTATTTGAGTCCTTGACAGTGAAAGATCTTAAGGTAAACAAGCTTCTTAATTGTTTTGATTACTGTAATAAAAACAAGTCTGAATCGTGTTGTTTGGTTTAATTAGTAAAGAGCTGAGTGGATGGGCTATGGTGGTTTTGTTCTAGCAGGTGAGAATCTCGCTGCTTTTCCTTCCTTGAGAGGATTAACCCCCCCAAGGCAGTTACAAAATGGAGGGGTGAGGTGAGGCAGAAAAGGTGGAGTCTCCTTTTCTCCTCACTCCTGTGTGGTACCCACTCCCTGACCGCCTCCAGCAAGAGGCCAGAGGTGGGCTGTCAGCCAGCCTCCCCTCAGTATTCCGCTCCCTTGTTCTTGTTCCCACACTTCCCTCAGCCCCACCGAGCCGGAGCCTCCAAACCTTTGTCCGTTCTGGTTCCCATCCCACTCCAGACAACCCCCATGGCCAAGCCCCTTTCTTCGGGATTTTGTAGCTTCCTCCCCCTTTCCCAAGGCTCCTACCTCAGTCACTGCCTCGATCCGTATGCAGAGATCTATTTCTGCATCCTGTTTCTGTTGCTAGGGGAGGGAGGAACACTGGCATCTTGCCTCAAGTGCAGGCAGGGGAGACCACCTCCCCTTGGACAAGAGCCTGAGCCACTAGCGCCCCCACTTTCTGAGCTTCCCTACATTCACAGAGCTGACCTGGAACCCCATCAGGTAACAGAAAACCTCATGGTAATAAGGAATGCGAACCACCATGCAGTCGATTCTGTGGCTGCACCCAGCAGACCTACCTCCTCAGCTGCCCATGTGACTCTCACTTCTCTGACCACCTGGAGCCAGTCACCCGACGGTCCTCACAGGCCGGCACAGTCCTCCATCTACTCCCAGCGAGGTCTCAGGCACGGTCTCGCTGCCTGGGGTGTAGTCGAGGGGAAGGCGGAGGGAAGTCCTGTGCAGCCACTCCCCAGCCCGTGCTCCGGCTGCCGACTTCAGGGACACATTTGTCCCCGTGGTGTGTCCGTTGGTGAAGCTTGGAGGTAGTGGGAAGGGGGGGGGGGGGCAGCAGGTACCTGGGTCTGGACCCCTTACACTCAGAATCCTGTGAGCTCCCATGGGGCTGGGGGCCAGCTCCTTTCTCAGCACTGGAGCAGCCTGGGAAGCCTCCCCCCCGGAGAAGCAGGGAAGGGTCTCTGCGGCCGCTAGCCTGCTCGCGCCCTACCTCGGTTTCATTAAACTAAGGCTGCTGCTTCCGTTTGACACTGAGAGAATGACAAAAGGACCCCCCAGGTCCAGAAGGACATAGCCTCACACGGTACAGGCTTAGCGCGGGCTGGCTTTAGTGCCAGCACCCTGGGCTGAGCACCGTTGGCAGGGCAGTAGCCCTGCTGGGACCTCCATCTTGCCTCCTGCAGATACGCCTTTTCTCAACATGCAGTGCTATGGGCTCAGGGCCAGCAGTGGTCAGCTCAGCAAGGTGTGGGAATGGTAAGTCCTCCCTGTTTAACTCTCAACAGCAGACGCCTCCCTGCTTGATGGAGAGGGGGAAGTAGCTTTTCCAGTCTTTGAAATACCTTCTCTGAGCTCTTGAGACCCAGAACTCCAGTGGTCTCCCGGGAACTGAATCACGGGAGAGAACAGGTGGTCTGGGAAAACGAGATCTGTGCCCCGGAGGCAAAGCAGCTGGAGCCAAAAGCCAGGACTCTGGCTGCTCCGGGAGCCAACTCCTACTCCAGCCAGGAACACAGCCAGGCCACTGGGGTGCCGCCGCCTCACTGGGCAGTAAGTAGGCTATGAGCGATGAAATGAAACTGCCTGCTGCTCGGGGGACAGCCTCTTGCACCCCAGCTGTTTACAGCTCAAGCTCTGCGCACCCACAGGAGAGACAGGGCTAGGGAGTCAGAGTGCTGAGATCAGCGCCGAGCAAGTAGATGGCCTGAGAGGAAGTGGAGAAGCTGCTTTGCAGGTTGTGGAGGGGACTGACAGACATGCCTTGGAGAGTTAGCACAAAGCTACTGCTTGCCTTATAGCCCAGTGAACTTGGCAAACTACCCTGGTCACTGTGGCAAAGGGGCTACACTCTGCAGGGGACAGCCCACCTAGGCAGAAGCGCAGCCCCCAGCTGGAGGGGCAGCAGCTGTTGGCCTGGTCTAACCTTTCCTTGTGCAGATCGGACACCGAGGCCCCAGAGACCTGGGGCTGCATCAACTTGCTCCCCTGGTCTGACCTGTCCAGGACCCACCCCATCTTCCAGGCCAGATTCCTCAGTCTAACAGCCCAGCACCTGCAGTGTCCACCAGGTGTGCATGGGCCCGGCCCCCAGGAGGTTCTGGTGTGTGTGAGGGGACATAGGGAGAAGCTGAAGAGGTTCAAGGGTTTGGGAGTGGCTGGTAGAAGTTGGGGGAACAGTTCTACTTTGATGCCATCAACCCACCGAGGTGGGCAGACCTCACAGGAAGCCAGTGTTCCTGGAGCACTGGCATTTCTGCAGGGTGTGCCCCCCAGGACGAGGGCTGTACTCGGAGGCGGTGTCCAGGGCCCAGAGTGAGGGAGAGCACCTCAGCCACAGGCTCTGGGTCAGCTGGCTTTATTGGAAGTGGGGACGGCTGGGGTGTGCCAGATCTGGTCTTGCCTGTGCAGCTGAGGTTGGTGCCCTCTCGCCTAGCGTCCAACAGTTTGAAGGATTTCCAGGGCCAAGGCGGCCACCGCGCTGTCGGCAGACGAACTGTGAGGGAAACAAAGGCTGCGGTGCCCCTCCTTCCAAGGGGCTGGTGTCTGACGAACCAGCTGCTTCCTAGGGCGCCCCCTCCTCCCCCCCGCAGTCTCTTGGAGACACAGAGACCAAGTTACCAGGCTGAGGTGCGAACCTGTCAGCCCACAACCCCAGTGGGGCTCAGAACGGGCCCCACCAGCACCCCTAATCGAGACCTGAGCTCCTGGCCCACCAGCTCTCGGCACATGAACCCCCTTGGGCCAGGTGCAGGTGCTGAGCTGTAAGGCAAGTCCGAAGGCAGCCAGACCCTGCTCAGCCGGCCCACAGCTGACTTGTACCCAACACCAAGGAGCCCGCCCAGCCCAGCCCAAAGACTGCCTCTCCTCCGTGTTGCCGCTGCCTGGCCCATCAGCCACGAATCCTGGGTTTCTTATTCTCTCAGGTGTGGGTGTGCCATTCAGAGCTTGAAATGGAGACTGTCACCAGAGCAAACACACACATTTAAGCCTGTGCCCTAACAACTATTAGTAAAGAAAAGAATGACACACAGCAGTGTTCACCTTGAACATGAGATTAGCTCGTGGCACCTTCCTCCTACACAGAAAGAGCCGATGTCAAACAATCGGGAGGGGGCTGCATAAGGGGAGGGGGGCCTCCATGGGACAGGGCAGGAGACGGGCTGCGCAGCCAAGGTCCCGAGGGACTGCCCTGCCCACGGGAGCCGCCGGGAAGGCCAGTGAGTGGCAAAGGGCACGTCCACCTGTGGCAGAGCCAACAGAGCCGAGAACACCGCCCTTCACTCACTCTTGGTCAACATTACAAAGCCCTTTCTCCCGCCATCTGAGCAGCTTCACAGCTGCAACCGCCCACCTGCCTGGAGTGCTGGGTGCGGGTGGGGGTGCGGGAGAAGCCACCGGCTCCAGGGAGCCCTGTCCTCATTTTGGGATTTGGTCCAGATTGAGGTGCATCCTGAGGCCGCACTGGCCTGCGCCTGAAGGCTGGCTGAGGCCCGCTAGGAGAGTCCACAGGCAGGTGGGGAAGGCTCTCGGGAGCCGGCCACTCCACTCCGCTGCCCAACTCAACTGCGAGAGGCCACGTAGGCTCCTCACAGACCAGTCCGCGTGGCGCAGCCCGAGGCCCTGTCTGCCCTCACACCAGGCTGACATGGTGAGGCAGGGCCTCCCACCAGCGGGCCTGTCCTTCCCCTCACCCACAGGAACCATGGCGGGTGGGTAGCCCAGGAGGTGGTGCCCCCTCCCCCACCCAATCCAGGATTAAGTACAAAAAGGATGACGGGGGCCCAGCCTCCACCACAGACTCGCTCAGCAATCAGGTATTTCTTCAAGTTACCGCCCACCCCAAAGCACCAGAACCACTCCATCCAATCCAACCCTGTGTCCTGGCCACCGCCAGAAAGCGTGCGGTGGAGGCAGGTGTCCACTTACAAGTGGACCGACAGCAGGGGGGCTCAGGACTGGCCACACACTGGGAGGGATCTCAATGGCAATGACCGGCACTGAGATCCTTCTGGAAGATGGGGGTTCCTGGCGTGCAGAGGGGATGGGGGGACAGAGGAGAGAGAAGAATGAGCCCATTGGATTGCACTGGCCCTCCTGGGCCTACTCACCCGCCAGCCGGGGCCAGCCGCTGCAGCGCCCGCAGGAGGCTGCCCGCGCCCTTCAGGCTCTCCAGGTGCTTCTCGTTGGAGGTGACCTGCGAGGCGGAGGAGACAGTGGTCGGTGGGCCCATCCCTGACTCAGCCCGCTGGCTGGGCACCCTGAGTGTCAGGCTGCCTGTGGCCTTGGAGAGCAAGCCTCAGCCCCACCCCACAGGACGCTGCTGACGATGGGGACAGAGGCAGATGGTGGTGACCCTTGTGGGGAGCACGAGGGAGTCACAGCAGGGGCTCTGCAGTCTCCTACGCATCTGTCGCTCTTTCCCACAGCCTGGCCTTAAGGCGAGGTAACGGGGGCTCAGGGAGGCGCAGGGGTCACTGCGGCAGGACCCAGGGAGCCGGAGCCTATCCCCGGCAGGAGGCTGGCACCAGGCTGGCCTCAGGTGACCCCCTGCGCAAGTGTTCCTTCCACTGGACCTAGCAGCCCAGGCTCACTGCCCAGTTCTGAGAAGAGGCTGAGATTTCTTAGCCACAGTGACAGGAAGGTCACAGGGTCACTACACTTCCAGGTGGACGCTGCACCTTCGCCACCCTGCTCCCCACATGTGCCTCGCCCAGCTGCCAGCCCAGCTGCATGGGGCGTGCTTTCTGCAAAGATCTGCCTCTTCAAAGAGCTGCAGGGAAATGTGTCCCGAAATCACACCCAACTGGGTGAGCTCAAGCTGTTTGGGAATGTGGCTGAGGTCCAGTTATGCCTGAGGCGAGCACTGAGGTTTCCCAAAACGTGCCTCATGCAGGTCCGTGGAGCTGCGTTCACACCCACTGCCCCGCCCAGCCCTTCCAGGGGACTGTGGGCTCCAAGAAGATCACCCAGCAGGTTCCAAAGGAACAGTAAGACTCATTTCCTTGCCAGGCTAGTCAGAAGGTGCAAACAGAAAATATAGTGACCATCACGCAATCAGAGGGAGGGACCAAAATAGCATCGTGCGGAATGGACATAAACGTAGGCATCAGCAAAGCCAAAAGAATTAGTTGAAAATTCTGTAATTTGGCCACTTAATGGAACTCTTACGGACCACACCAACTATTGTCCTGCATGTAAAAACGAGTTAATTAGAAAATAAAAACTGTAAACAATATCAGAGACTCCAGTTCCGGATGAGATAAGAGAATACATAAGAAAATAATACAGATGTTGGAAGTATCTGACAAAGAATTTAAAGTGTTATAAAAATGCTAAAACAATTAACACTTGAAGTATTAAAATAGACTATAACACTTTTGAAACAAATATTAAAATGGAAATAGAACAGTATGAAAACAGAATAAAGTGTAAAAGTAAAATAGACTGTAAAATTAGAAAATATAAAGAGGAACCAAAAAATATATAATAACTAATAAACAAAAAGCCACACTAAATAGACTCAATAGCAGAATGGAAAGAGGCAGTGAACTTGAAGATAGATCAATAGAAACAATCCAATCTGAGCAACAGAGGAAAAAATGTGGAAGACACAAAGGACAGAGCCTCAGGGACCTGCAGGACAATAACAAAAGGTTTGTGTCATTGGAGCTCTAGAATGAGAGAACAGCATAAATGGATGGAAAGGCATTTGAGGAAATCATAGCTAACACTAGTCCGAGAGTGATGAAAGACATGAACCTACAGATTTAAGGAGCTGAGAAAATGTCCAACAAGATATCCAGGGAGTCCACACCCGAGCGGTTCATACTCAAACTTGCTGAAGACAAAGAATGTTGAGAACATGCAGGGAAAAAGAAAGGTGCATTCCTTAGAGGGAAGCGATGATTCGAATTACTGTGGATTTCTCATCACACTGAGATAGACAAGCTGCCCGTGTATTTGGGGTAAATATGTCGCTTTCTTCAGCCTTCCGCATGATGACCTTATCAGTCGGCATTCGAACTTCCTCAAATGCCTTTGCATCCAGTCGAACTTCAAGGTAGATCAATAGAAACAATCATTACGTGGAACCGAAACTCCGCCAGTGCCTGTAGAATTTATTATCCCGCATTCCCTCCGGCTCACGGCCTAGAGATGGTACAGGCGGGGCTGATGCTTCTGGACTTCGGCTTCCCAAGTGCAAACTAACCACAGGTGTGTCCCATGTCCCCAGTGGTGGCAGGACCCTGGTGCCGCAGCCTGGGCCGTGTGTAGCCGAGGCTGCAAGGGCAGTGGGGACAGAGGCTTGTCCGGGACAGAGCGGCCGCTGAGGGACAGAGCCAGGCCTGGTGCCTATCCATCCACCTCATTGAAGGCCTGGAAAACGTGTATGTCAGCAGCACTGCCACTGCCCACCATCGTGGTCCGTGACGGATCCGCTCATGGATGGAGGCACAGGTCAGCCTCCAGCAGGCTCTGGCGGGCTTCTCCGGGGAGAAATGGCCTGGGGGTGCGGAGCGGGTGGCTGCACTGAGTCAGGCGTGGGCAGGCTGTGGGGCCTTGTCCGTGGGCGGGACTGACGGAGGTCTAGATCGCAGTGGTCCTGAGTGCAAGGGGCTAAGGAAGCTATGTTAGCCCCGGTTTTCCAGTCACGAGCCCCCTGCACAGGCCCTGGCAGCACCAAGAGACGAGGAAGGAAATCGGGGGGCCCCTAGGCACCACAGGAGGGCAGCCCAGCGGCCTGCTGGCACCGACACGAACTTCACGGGGGAGAATTATACTAACTCCACAGGCTTCAGATCTCAGGAAAACAGGTAAAAACAAGCAGGTAACTATGACAACTCTCCTTCAGAGAGCTTAAATCCCCAAAACAAACCTATGCACCCAGGCCTTTATTCTGTGCTCTGAACCAGATACTTTGCCTTCTCTCCAGCTGAGGCTCCTATGTGACTTCAAAGCCACTGCTACCCACTGCGAATCGAGGCATGCTGCCCCCTGCCACGGACGCCGGGCTGGGATCCGGCAGCCCCTCCCTCCTCTCTACCTGCTGCTGCTTATTCTGCCTTTTCCAGAAGCTTCTTCAGCTGCGGGCAGGGCCCACCTTTCCCATCAGATCACAGCGAGGTTGACGGTGCATGACACGCCCGCCTCCTGATCAGCAGTTTCCCGCCCGGCTGGTGGGACAGGCCTCGTGCTGCCTGGGCGAGCACTGGGGGCCTCCCACGCACACCGATCAGGGCTCTGCTGCACGCTGTGGAGACCGCCAGCCGCGGCCCTGTCCACGCAGGTCTCTGCGCCCTGTCCCCGCAGCCCAGGCTCCCCACGCAGGGTTCCTGGGCACTGCCTGCCTCCCGGACTCTCAGCTCAACTCGAGGAACCCCCTGGGCTCCATCGCAGCTCGCCCTCCACCTGCGTGGCATGCCGACTCTCAAGGCAGCGAGACGGGCCCCACCGCAGCTTCACCTCCCTCTGCGCTGCCTCGGGACCCGCCCCCCACGGCCTGCAGGCCAGGGCCCCGGGAACCACGGCTGCACACGGTGTTTGTGTGTGTGTCAGGGGCGGGCACACCAGCGCCCACTGCTCCGTCGTGCCTGCGTGGAGTCCCTGCGTAGTCACCTGTCATGCTCACGCGTCCAGAGCTTCTCTGGCCGTCCCCGGGTTGGAAAGCGGGGTGCACTCAGAGGTGCATCCTGAGGGGGGCACAGCAGGCAACAGCCAGCACTATGCTGCCGCTCAGTCACAGCACTAACAGTCTTCTTCAGAAAACACAGGTAATTAATAATAATTAAAAAAAAAAAAAAAAAAGCCGGGGGACTGACTCATGGACTTAAAGATGGGTGGCAACCACGGGATCTTAAATCTTACCCATGTTTGGCACAGATGGAGCCGAATTAATTATAGGCCTTGGCCCAGAATGCAGGACTGTAACCAGAGTGAAGCAGAACCAAGTGTTGGTGGACCTGACTCACGGCAGCCACGCGGAGTCTGAGCCCTCGGCAGGTAGACCAGGATGCATGCTCCGTCCACTGGGGACGCGGAGACGCCGTGCCCGGCGCTGCCCACCCCTCTGGCTCCGAGGCCCACGTGTCCATGGGACGATGTCATCGCTGGAAAGTCAGAGGGAAACCAGCACAGCAGGGGGGGAGAGGGGGGAAGAAGGAGCAGTTTTCCTATCCCTTCCTACAGGGCCTGAGGGCGAGGACAGGAGCAGCAGAGCTGCTGCTTGGGCTTCGGGTCATCAGGCCCGTGACCCACTGGGAAGTCGCCTGTCCCTCCCCTGCCAGGCTCTGACCAAGTTGCCGGTTGCAGAGAACAATGCAACCGCACTCTGCTGGGGGCTGCAATTAAGCGGGGGTCTGGGCTTTGCTTTTCAAAGCGTTTGTCTTATGTGACCTTATGCTAGGTGATGTGGAAGCAAACCATTAAGTACAGAGAAACAACAGCGGATCAAAAGAGCAAACTTAAAAAAGATGCCTCCGAGATCAAAGCCTCTGCTCATCTCTGCCACGGGGGTGTCTCCCAGAGGGAGAAAACACCTCTTTTAACAAATATTCTTTTCAAGGAAAGATTAGAATCCGGCTTTGAGAGAACGGCCACAGGGCGGGGAGACACAGGGCGGGGAGGCGGCGGCGGCAGGCAAACCTTGCGGCTACGCGTCCGGACAAGTCGGTGCCTCCATCAGATGTTTGGCCGCGCCTGAGAGCAGCCCGGCTGCTGGCAAACGTGCTCAGACGCTCTCCTACCACCTGCGGGGTCCAGGGCCAGGCGACCCCACCCCAGGAAGCTGTGGCTCTGCCACGCCCTGCCACCAAGACGGACCCAGCTGCCCCAGGAGAGCAGGTGGCGGTGCGCTGTCCTCCCTGGACGTGGGCTTGGCCACCGCTGCACCAGGGAAGGGACATGGATGCAGAAAACGTCAGCCAGCTTCCCAGCTCCGTGTCACCCCACAGCCTGCAGCACACCCTCCCCCGGCCGAGGGGAGAAGCCGCGGAGGGCCCGTCTCGGTACGACCCCTGGAAGGGCTGCCCGGGTCCCGCAATGCCAGTCCAAGGAGGCAGCTCGCGGAAGGAGGAGGGCGCCTCGGGGAGGAGCGAGAAGGGCCCTGGACCTCTGGACCCTCTTCTGGGAGATGCCATGCGCTTCCCGCTTAACCCGCTTTGACCCGGAGGCTCTGCGATGGGCCCACAGCAATGG